TCTCGGTCTTGTCTACTTGCATAACTTTAGGCGTTAATGACCCCAGGCAGATTATTTTGCAATAACAAAGGAGCAATGGAAAACTCTATTGCATTTGAACAAACGGAGTTGTTTTATTCTGTCTATTAAGTTAACAGACCAAATAGAAATCGATTTATTCGCAGTCATATATTTTTATAATGACTGAGGCGTTTAAGGCGCAACCGAGATTCATATAGACTTTGGTCCAAGGCGCTAAAGCCGGTAGTAATCATGTCTAAAGGAAATTTCTTTTCTGCTTAGCGTCTATTTAAAGTGAAAATACAAATAATATTAATTGACGGTCCAAACACGGAAAAGCAATTTCCATGTCGCCTATACATAATTAATATTTCCCAGGTCGGAAAGTTAAGTATACGTAATAGAAATAAAGTATATTTTATTCTGTTGCTAAATTACCCTGCTGAAATGTATTTCTTCCTATTCTATACTCAATAATGGGCCGAATTGGGCAGGGGTTCTTCAGAATGAAGGTTCTTTAACTTGGAAAGCTTGGTACCTGGTAGACCACAAAATGCTTCTTTCAGCAAACCTATTTCACTTATAGGAGTCATCAGATTTCTAGCCAGTAAGCGGTAGCTGTTAAATCGTATTCGACGAGCAGAGAGAGTGAGACCCATGTTAAGCTTACTAATTTGGAAAAAATTTCATCTCTTTATAATGAGAAAATCACGTGACTTCTGTCACTAAAAATAATTCTATTACATCATTCTACCTATTTTCAGATTATGACGTAACACCTCCAATGACACCCTACAACCCTCCATCCCGATGATGTCACTATTGTATATTTAGATTATGATGTCATCATTTTTGATGACGTCAACCTCTGGGGTATTGTGACGTCACTGTGTCCCATTGTCCCTGTCGCATTGTCCCTGTCTGTTGTATACTAATGACAGAGCAGGGAAGGCCATTCTGAAACTAGTACAAGGCGGTGCATTTCCAAAAGAAATAGAAGCTCTACAAAAAATTCAACAAGTAGATTTTGAAACAGACCGACAATTTGCGAAGGCAATGAAGTCCGAAGTCAAGAAATCTAGTACCTTTTATCGCCTTGATCCTTTCCTGGACCGGGACGGACTCATACGTGTTGGCGGAAGGCTAAGCAAGTCACAAGAGTTCTCAAAAGGCTTTAAGCATCCTGTGATCCTCGCGAAGAAAATTTTGATCGTGAAGTTCATAGTTCGCGACGCCCATAAGAAGGTCGCCCATGCAGGCAGGGGCATTACACTGAACGAACTAAGAAATCAATATTGGATACTTAACGCCAATTCTGTTGTGCGACATTTTATCTCCAAGTGCGTGGTATGTCGTCATCTTCGTGGAACGACAGGTGAACAGAAGATGGCTGACCTTTCTAAGGGGCGAATAACACCCTTTCCTCCCTTCACGTACACTGGCGTTGATTACTTTGGTTCCTTCTACATCAAGGAAGGACGGAAAGACGCTAAACGCTATGGAGCACTATTTACGTGCCTAGCTAACCGAGCGGTGCACATTGAAACGGCCGACTCATTGGAAATGGATTCCTTCATAAACGCCCAACGACGATTCATAGTAAGGAGAGGGCCAGTACGTGAGATCAGATCAGACCAAGGCACCAACATCGTGGGAGAAGAGACAGTACTAAAGAAAGCTCTAGCCAAGCTGGACCAGCAGCGCAATCGAAAGGAGTCTTTGCAGAGACTTCACTCCTGATTGGGTCATCCAATGGAAACAGAATCCTCATGCAGCGTCCCGTATGGGTGGAGTTTGGGAGCACCAGATACAGTCTGTCAGATCAATTTTATTTGCACTGATGCGAAAACATGGTCACACCTTTGACGACGCGACGAGTCCTTTAGAACCCTGTTAGCTGGGGTAGAATGCACCACCAACGATCGGCCGCTCACTGTCCCGTCAAGCGATCCCGAGGATCTGGATCCACTCACACTAAACCACATACTGACTATGAAGTCAAAAGTCGTCATGCCTCCACCAGGAAACTTTCAGAAAGCTGATTTGTACCTCCGTAAAAGATGGGAAACGTGTGCAGTATCTTTCGAATGTCTTTTGGTCGAGATGGAGAAAAGAATACGTCCAACATCTACAACAGAGAGTAAAATGTAACCACCCCCGAAGAAACTTCGAAGAAAGAGATAAATAGTAAAGCAGGTCAAGTGACTTATTTTGCCTCTTAATTTCTGGTCAAATGAATACAAAATTTGACCATTCCGGCACGGATAGTTACTTTGAACAAAGGCAAAGAATAACTGATATCTTACACTTCGCTTCAGTTGACCATTCCCACCTCATTTGAGATTTGACTATTGCTGAGATTATGACCTCATTAGACACGTGACCACCATAAAAACATGTTAGGCGATTTAAGGACACTAAATTTTTATTGATCTTTAATTTTGGTCTTCCTACTGCAAAAACCAAAGGTGTTTCTAAAGGGAAACGGTTTAAACTTCCTGGGCGTCTAACCAAGTAACAAGCCATGCCATAAGATGCTTTAGTTGTAAATCAAAAATTGAGAATTGAATGTTATTTAGCCCTTATGTCAAACAAACGTAATACTTGTTTAGTGCAGAGTGCACTACTTGGGTGGTTTAGGGGGCTGCTGATTGCTAAGGCACTAACCACTAAACACAATAACATAATAAGGTGTAAGCTTACACGTTTGTTTCATCAATTGATTTCAATTGATCCATTAACCTTACGGGAAGGGGGCTGGGTGTCATACTTACAATGCTTTGTTGATAACATGACAAACTATATATTTGTTTTCACAAATCTCTTGCTATCCTTGTGGTTTTATTCTCTTAAGAACAAAAGCAATTTCATCGAAACGCATACGCAGATAAGTTAGCGTCATTGCCGACTATATGTTAGTTCGGTGAAAAATACATTTCATACGGGATTACACTCGAACGTTCAGTGCTTTTCCTTGTGGTAGAGCATAACATGGAAGACGCATGCCTTCTAACACTGCTAGTGTGATAAACCCTGTTCTCGAGTTCGGATCTACGCGTTTTTTTTAATTTTTGAGTGACACCACACTCTCGTTTTGACCGGGGATAGCAGCTATATTTCAGGCAGCGTCAGTTCTCTCTTTTTTAGTACAAAGAACGCTACTGTGACTGCGTACCTTCTGGAATTACCTTTAGCTTGATTCAAGAAATTGCCTCTGTTGTTTTAATAACTATTGTGTGTTTCGCAGGGTTCAAATAAAGAATGAAAATAATGAACAGCCAAACGAGCACAAAACAAGCGAAAGCCCGGCCGAACAAAAAGGTGGCTGAGAGTGCAGAAAGCATCTCTGGTATAAAACGAAACCAAAACATATAAAATGACGTTCCCGCCATTTCGTCTCAGGTAGTTTCGAGAAGGTCGCTTGGGCTGTCCACGCATTACGCGAGTAACATCCTCGGAAGAACTGAGTTCAATTTTTCAAAATAACTTAAGAGGGACTACCTTGGGTAGAAGGCCTATATGAGAGATTCACTCTCTTACCTTGATAATCTCTTGATTAGCCGCGTTGCTGTGATTTAGCTGAGTCCTCGATTTTCCATGCCCGTTGGAAGTCTCGTTGTCACGCAAAAAAGTAGAGTGACCCGTTGTCACACAGTTATTATTTTCATCTGATTCGACTGAAGATGAAAACAGAACCGACTCTCTGATTGATTTAAAAATACCATAACCTAAATACTCTTTTTCTTTGGCCATATATCGTAGCTTGGTAAGAAATAACACGCAAACCGCGGTGATAAACATGGCAATAAAACGCATGTTAAAAAACAAAGTTCATTTACTTGACGTTTCGTATGTTTCTACATACTTCTTCAGAAGTGATCGTTAGGAATAGAAGTAACAACTAAATTTCAATTTAAAATAAGTAACTAATTAACAATCACAATGACAGAAGCTGAGAAAAATCTGCATATAAAAAATGCAAACTAATAAAGATAAAGCTTTTCGCTGCTTACATTATCATTTAGGGTGGGTTTTAATTCCCTTANCTTAAAAACACCCTTAACAACAGAGCCACCATAAATTTTCGAAAATTTAAGGTGGCTCTGAACCCTATGTACAGAATGTTTTTAAACTTTGCCAAAAGTTGCGTCTTATCATACTTATCAAAAGTTGATAATAAAAAATTTCACGGTGCCGATTTTGAATTATAAGCCCCTAAAGCTGTAATTAAGGGTGTTTTCAGGAGGTCATACTTTTGCTATGGTAACCTATCGTGTCATGAAAATGATAACAACGTGTTCATCAATGATTGGGCAGTCTTTTGATATCATGATTGTAGCATCAAGTGATAAAGAGTAGTTACAACGACCCATCAAAATGCTGGAAACTTTTTAAGGCTAGTGGGGCCGAGCAATTCAAACAACTGAAGCAAATAATCCAAGTCGAACTTAACATTGTTAAGAATCCCAACTGGCCGGAGGCAAACCAGTTGGCTATTTACAAGCGTGGCCGCTGGATTTGAACTCGGGGCTACTGTGAATCAAATCAAGGTAGTGGTTAGAGCGGAACTCGAACCCGTGACTGCTGAATTGCGAGTCCGACGCGCTGACCTTTCACTGAGTTTAGTTTACATGGAACAGTCAGAATATGGAAAAACACATAAGTGTAACTCAAACACATGATTCTTTGCTTCTTCTCAGTTTTGCAGGATTTGATGTTATGACACTAGCCAATAATCACTTGAACGACTTTGGTTCAGAAGGAGTCAACTTTACTGTTGACGTTCTTAAAAAGACGAGAGTGAAATATTTTGGCGTCACTTATGGCAAATATGACTCTTCTCAGGTACAATAATAAACTGGGTATCTTCGAGGCTATGTGAAGGAGGAGAGAGCTCAGGAGCGAGGCAGGTCTATTGCTAGACAATTAGCCACAATGGTCGGTACGTTACAGACCGCCAACCTGAGGTGTAATAAATTTTTCCCCTAACGTGCTCCAAGGTGATGTGCCTTGCTAAGTAAAAGCCCTGAATAAGTTTCGCGGGCTGCCGTTTGTCATAACTGACCCACCAGCAAACGGGCTGTAAGCAAAAGGACTAATTTCTGTTTGTTATGATAGTTCAGTCTTCCTTCTAATTTACAAGTTTTCTAACTCTCTCATTCTTTCTCGTATTACAGGAACCTTTGATACTGGAACGACGCGGAATAAAGATAGGGTTTCTTGGTTACTGTGATTCCATAACCGCGGCCATAGACAAAAACTGTACCGAAATGAGAATGTTGTTCAATTCTGGTCCTGCTCTTTACCGAGATGACATCGCCACAAGAGACTTCAACAAGCTAAAACAGGTGTTACTGCAGTTTTAAATCTTTAAAGGGAATCCTGGCTAAAAGAAAAGCAGTTTTGTTTCATATCATAATTTGGTGTTTGACTTAGATTATTTCAGCGATTTGAAGTAGATAATTCTTTACCTGTTACGAATGGTGGGCGTTTCGCTTCTGCTATTTTAGGATTTCTAATTTTCTGGGCGCCGCTATGTTTACTTTTGCAATGTTTAATGGGAGATTATGACGCCGAGTGCGCAGTTGAATACTTTTAAAATACCGCAATGCTTGAATCCAGAGATATAAAAGTGCTTGCAATCGTTGTAATTCACTTAAGTTTGAGTTGATTTGAAATATATTCTAAACGACATTTTGTTTTGTTGTTTCTTTCTTATTGAATTCCTCGTGCGCTAAGTTTCATAAGTTTGGCGGCACAATGCCGTACATCTTAGAATTCGTGATCAAAAGTTACGCAGCGCTCACTTGCCCTTGCTTAAAAGTGAAAATTAACTTTCAAAGTTCTTGAAGTTGGCAAAAATACCGCTTATGTCAACAACAGAGTTAAGGTCCAGTGAAAGTTGATTTGGCTTTGAAATCTCACTGGATGAGATGACGTCAGTTGAGAACACGCAACTCTGTTTACGTGTTACTTTTCAGGTCATAGTTGGGTGAACTATATCTTCTCATTGTCCCACACAGACCCTTAGAAGACTATGGTTGTGTTCACACTTGGTGCTCTAGCGCTGGTAGCTGGGCATCCACACAAAACAGTTATGTTTTTAGACACTGGGTATTCTAAGGACATACTTACAATTACCACTTAGCGCCCGGGTACAAGGTGGAGACCTTGTACCCGGGCATGGACACTGTGCTCGGATTCTGGTGTGAGAAAAGATGTGTTCACACTAGGTGCTCCGCGAGAATCGCACCAAGAAGGTACCAAGTGCAAACATAACCTATGTTCAAAGGGTGAACAATCTAGGAACCATTCTCTTTCTTTCTTTCTTTCTTTCTTTATGTTAGCCTATCAAAAAATACACAGAAGCTTACATTGGCAAAGGTGCTAAGAACGTACCCAAGCTGAGATTGACTTACAAAGTTTTCGTTCTGAGGTATGCAAGCACGTGGTTGCAACGTGGTAAAACCTGCAAGGTTTCCCGGGCATCTCTGGTTACGATAACTGATTTGAAATGCATTACCTTAAGAACATTTTAAGGCTCTTAGGTTCAAACCACCATAGTAAAAGTACAAAACGTTTTCATTAACAAAAAGTTTAGCTCGTTAACCTTACCAAGGGCGCAAAAAATTAACGTCAATCTTTTTTGTCAACTCCTAAAGGCTAAGGTAGACATCATAGTCGTCTTTATACACTATGGTCAAGAACGCTGCTTAGGCCCGCGTCCCTACCAGCATCGTATTAACAAACACCTGATGTCACTTGGTGCACACGTCATCATTGGATCACATCCTCACGTGCTACAACCACACTGTGTTACTGAAGACAACAAGGTGATAGCACACAGTCTGGGGAATTTCTTGTTTTACCCAAACCGTCCTATCGGTGGCGGCAATCCGGTAAGGTGTTCGTTTAGTTATCAATTCCCATACAAAAGGAACATTCTGAAAAAAAATCTTCAATCCTACTTTAAGAAAAAAGATGGCGACTGGTACATTTACCCATAATTCTAAGCGCACAAAAGCTTTAACAACGCTCACTAAAACATACAGAAACGTTCTGAAATCTTCAAACCTAGCATGCAAAATGTCGTTTGCACAACTAGGAGGGCAAATATTGCAAAAATATTACTTTCCTTGTACTTTATGGGCTGCGTAGGCTCCGCATGGTATTGTGGTAAAATGAACAGTCCCCATCGTTTTTCCTATGGAGGATTTTATAGCCAAGAAAATCATGGCAAAGTTACGAATTGGCCGGAAGGGAAATATCCCTTTCCTCACATCGACGAACAGACAGAATGAGTGCCGGTGACAAAGTCCCTTCCAAGTGATGTGTCAAATATAGTTACTTAACACACTGAACGCTGATCCGATATGCTGTTCACTTTTAACATGGTTCGGCCATGTATTTTCTGCGGGACAGTTTTAGTCTGTCCGTAATTTCCTTATCGCGACAACGACATGCTATTCTGGGTATTTTTGTCTATTGTTCATGGTCACGCGTTTTGCATGTGATATTGACCGATCCGCAAACATTTGGATTTGAGTTTCATCTGAGGTCATTACCATGTGCGTTTAGTAGACAATTGGTCCCCAAGCTGGTTGCCTTACTTTTTGCTGTTACACCGTGCTGACGAGACCAAACCAGGTCGAATCAGCTGTTCACGGTTGTAATTCTCGGCTTTCGTTTAGGACTCTATCATGTCGTTGTCGCGTTAAGTTGTCTATATGGCAGCCAGCACGATGAAGTAACAAACAAATATGGCAACCAGCACGCATGATTGCCAATCGTAGGCAAAGGTTCAGAACATTGCGAACAGGCAAAAGTTTTCCTTTACGTAGAAGATATTGTCAATCTCCTCCCAACCTTAGGATTAGAACAAACTTAAATCCCCGGGGGGAGTACTCCTAGAAAAATTGGGAGGGGTGTGAGGCCTGCCTCCCAAAACCCTTACCCTATTTAGCACAAAAATCTGTGACTTTCCCTACCCTATTTATGACCTGACCAAAAATTCGATGCCCTATGTAAGACCTGACCCTTAAATCAATACTCTGGTTCAGACATGCCTCATAATTAGTTCCCTAGTTCAGATCGATGCTAATGGCATTGTGACGGGCTGTTGTTGATGGTCTTATCGATAATGATGAAAAAAACAAGTAGCTTCTGTTAAAAAAAAACATACTCAATTCAAGAGTAGAATGCAAAAACCATCCCCTAGTTAAGACCAAAATGGCAAAAATCGATTCCCTTTTTCTGACCAAAACGGCTAAAAAACCATATAACTTGGGACTGCAACTACCTCCATAGCCCATATAAGGGAGTATCCCCCGGTATCCCCCCTCATGTGACTCTTGATTATTAGACTTTCTTATATATGATTGAACTCTGTTCCAAATGTTTAAGAAATGACACTTATTTTGGCTTGTACTTCTGATGTTAAAGATTTTGCCTTTACTTTGCCGCAGATGCTCTTCAATGTTCTATCGATCCCTTAGTTACTGTTATTGCTGTTCCTTTTTTCCAGGAAGTTTATGGACGTTTGGGTAACAAACCTGATAAACTCTTGATAGAATCCTACGAACACTTTGTACTTGAAAGCCCTGAGAATTTAAAAGCGTCCCGTATGCTGAAAGTTACCATCTCAAGGTGGATATAATATGAACTTATTGACTGAGTGAGAGGGCCGGACGGGAAAATATCTAGCTCGAAGTCAGGAGGTACGGACTGAGTACAGCGAAATTTTCCAGAGCGAGTGCCATATTTTCCTGTCCGGTTCTCTCACTTAGTCAATAAGTATATTTATCATACTACTTTTACCAAAGTTTGATTTTTTTGGAAAGTTGTGAAAAAGTGTTGAATGAATGGTCTGTACCTTACAGCTCAGCTCAGCTACAATATTCTTTTCAATCCACTATTTTCAGAATACTCAATGAACAGGGTAAAAGTTTATTGGAATTCTTAAATCTGTTTGTTGCTGAAGCCTGAAATATCTTTAGCCGCGCGGGTCTATCCAAAACAACCAAAGAACATTTCTTCTCACTTTTGAAGTTGCTCTATTTTGTTTTTCTTGTTTTAGGAGTGGCATTGTGGGAGCAAAATATCTGCCCCTGAAAGTCGCATTTGATCCGAAAACCAAGCGAATTCATCCTGAACCGAAAAAGAAAGCAAAATGGATTCTCGTCTGCGGAGTTGAAGATAAGCAATGCCAACCATGTCATAAGAGTTGAAAGGAGATAAAGAAAACCACAACGCCTGCCGTCTTTTTACAAGTTATTTTCTATTTCAATTTAATTACTGCAAGAGCCCTAAATACTGTACCTCTGATTTGAACCGTTTCGCTATTTGATCTTCATTTAATTCCCTTAAAAAAAGGTTAAGATTCATTAGCTTTCAATAATTAAGCTTGCGAGCAAGCTCTCTGGCTTGAAGACAAACTGCGAGCTAATACATCCTAGCTTATACCATCCAGGAGTTTTGCTTCAACATATCTACAACAAGCTGGCATCAGTGTGTAGAAGATCTTGCCTACCATCTTCCCATATCTAGCGCCTATCAAAATGTTGCAGACCGTTAATTTAAAGAAATATACAACTTTTTTAATGTTAAAGATGTTTGTCAGATTCTCGGCGGTTTCTCCATTCCAAACCATAAAGTCGCAGTCGAACCATACGGCCTGTCGAACTAAACAGACCTACGCTCGATATAAGATGGTAGATAAACATCGAGGTGCGTAGCGCCGAGCTGGCTATAATCATCTCATATTCAACGAGTCCGAGGGGAATAACTGTTTTATTAAAAACGCCCACCAAATATGAAAATGACAATGACGATGACAATGACAATCATAATTATAGTAATAGTAATAGTGATAGAGATAGTGACGATGAAAATGAAAATGATAATGAAAACGATAAGGATAATGATAATGATAACGATAACGATGATGATAAGGAATAACACGCAAACTGCGGTGATAAACATGGCAATTAAACGCATGTTAAAAAACAAAGTTCATTTACTTGACGTTTCGTATGTTTCAACATACATCTTCAGAAGTGATCGTTAGGAATAGAAGTAACAACTAAATTTCAATTTAAAATAAGTAACTAATTAACAATCACAATGACAGAAGCTGAGAAAAATCTGCATATAAAAAATGCAAACTAATAAAGATAAAGCTTTTCGCTGCTTACATTATCATTTAGGGTGGGTTTTAATTCCCTTATTACCAAAAGGTCGGAAAAATACACATTGCAAGATAAAAGAGACTCTGCTAATAAGGGAATTAAAACCCACCCCAAATGATATGATTGAAACATACGAAACGTCAAGTAAATGAACTTTCTTTTTTAACATGAATTTTATTGCCATGTTTATCACCGCAGTTTGCGTGTTATTTCATACCATAACCTATACTAAATCTATAACTTTTTCAGTGAAAAATTTTCCTTTTTCCGTATGATCTTTTACAGCAACGCAAGGATGCTAAGGGTCAAGCGGAAGTTGAAGAACACGACGACAGAATAACGAAAAGAAAAACTGCCGCAGCCGCAGTCAGAGAAGATGAAGCAGTTAGAGAAGATGAAGCAGTTAGAGAAGATGCCAAACCAGATGGACTTCGCGTTAATATATCTATTGGAAACACTGCCTTTAATTGTCTTATGAATTGTTTAAAGACTATTACGTTAAATTTTTTTAAGTTGTGTCGTTTTGCTTTGGTCTGCATTGTGATTTATTTTGCTATTACTTTTTTGGTATCGTCTCCATTCTTTTATTATCTAAAACCATCGGCATGTTTAACAAATTACACGCATCACCAATTACAATAACAAAGTACTGTGCTATAGCTACATCCAGACTGCATTACCTAATTACACTAGATGCTACTAAACGAGAGAAAAAAATAATTAGTTAATTCTGACAACACATGCTAGCTACAATTAAATCTAACAGGAAAAAAAAAGAAAAAAAAAAGAGAGAAGAAATTAAAGGAAAAGGAAAACTAAAATATGAAAATAAATACGAAGGCAAACAAACAACTAATAGCGCGGGTAAAGGGGGAAGAGGAACGATTTCTAATCTCGATTTAACACAATTAAAAGGAACTTAGTCTGTAAAGTTGGCGAGGAGCATAGTCACGGGAACGAGTAGTTTATGGGTATTGATTCACCAAATTTTCAACTTTGCATTTAAAATTGATTCTAGTGATAAATTCGGTTAGCACAAGTAAACTGTTTTTTACTCAGTCTACTTGCATGCACATAGAATTTCATGAAAAGGAGGGTTTAATTGAATTTTCTCGTTAGCAAGGAAAGGTTCTCGCTTTTGAAAGGATTCAAGAGCGTGCTTTTCGCATTTTTTCAAGGAAAAAAACTGCTACATGTGATGAACTGCTTAAGAAAGCTGGACTAACTACTCTGTACAACCTACTAATTATAATGTACAAAGTTAAACATAAACTGACGCCAATCTTCATACAGAATATGTCTGAAGAAAATGGAGCGACATACCAACTTCGGAATGGAAATGATTTCAAGATACCAAGATTTCGGACTGTAAGATAGGGAAACACCATAAGATATATGGATCCATACTTGTGGTCAAGACTTTCAAGAGAAGATGAGAAAAGCACAAGCCTGAATGCCTTCATCTCAACCATCAGAAGAAGAGACATAGAATCTTTACTTGAGGATAACTGCGAGAATTTTCACCTGTGTTTATCTTTACTAGATTTCTAGAAGAATTCCAAATATTCCAAATTGTAGTTAATCTCATTGTAATAACTTGTAGGATACATTTTAAACTAGTCGTAATAAAAGCTGCGTCTGTGATATAACTTAAATAGCTGTGAGTGAGTGAGAACTTTATATGTGAGTGAGAACTTTATTAAAGTGTCAAAAACCTTATAGCCTGGAAATAATACACCATACTAATTAGGGGACACTGCTAAAAGACTATACTAATACTAATATTAATACAATAAAAAATAAATGACTTGAAGGGCATTATGTGCAGCATAGGATGCAGCCCTTACAGCCGGTGTCCATTAAGCGAGTTATGTCTGTTGCTGAAATCATTATGAATTATCTTTGTGAACAGCTGAAGTTTTACAGACAGATATAACATAATGACAAAGTCCAGTGTTTTTTTTGTAGATTATTTGATTTCCTTGCTTTATAGTTAGCAAGTTGAGACTACGATCTGATTACCTTTGATGACACGTTGCGTGACTAGTTTTCGTAAACTCACATTTCACTTCAAAATTTATGCTAAACATCTCATTTTGAATGAGTCGATAACAACTTGCTTGTGATTGAACACGACCAAAACTATACATCCACTGCTGTCTCATTACTCTTCCATAAAACAAGGGTAGGGGCGGGGCGCTTATTCGAGGGGAGGCGCTTATTTTAAATTTTGGCCGATAGGAGGGGCGCTTAGTATTCGAAGGGGGCGCTTATTTGAGGAGAGGCGCTAGTTCGAGGATTTACGATATACCAGTAGTAGGCCCTCAACTAAACCACGCCCTGGAAGCACCACGAAGTATATGTTTTGGGTTATGTGTTTAAGATTACTAGGTGTTCCGTATATATAATTAAACATTTATTAATGTAGTGTGAAGAGTATTAAAGTAGATGTAGGAGACGTAGATGTTGAAAAGTAATGACCACTCTAAAGACGTTACACTCCGAAAGTAGAAACAAAATCTAAAAATTTCACGGTTCTTAGAAAATCACGAAAGCAACGATACCCCAAAGGAAAGTTGATATGAGTGGCGTTTTAGATTACCTTTGTTCCAAAAGCAATGTATTATTCTATTTTAGGGGTAGCGAATGGTAAATGCGAGACTTCGCGAGACGGCGAGACAAGCGTTTTTCTCTGGGAGCCCGAGACATTTTGACTTTTTAAATTGCGAGATCGAGACTTTCAAGGGTTTTATGTGCGATCGCGAGACGCTCAGACTTTTAAAATTTGAGCCCCAGATTTAGCTATGAGCTAGAATGAGCTTGTACAGCCTTTTTTCCAGCTTCTTCGAACTGGCTCCAACTGGAAATTCGATTATATTAAACACACTCCGTTATGATATCCTAGAACAAAAAAACTGTTTTTTGGGGGATGTTACTAAAAGAGGGAACGGGGAACGGGGAACGGGGAACGGGGAACG